AGTATAAAGTCGTGCGATGGCTAGTTTTTATTTATAAAATATTCGTGTAATTTTACATATGGAATATTAATGTTTTTACTAAATAACATCTGATTTATTTTTCTTTTAACTTTTATTAATAATTTATTATTATTTAATAACTGGGTAGGTAAATTTAATATTGACTATCAGAAAAAGTCACATGCCAAGCAATTTTCTTCAAAACGCGATTATGAGCACTAGACATTACAAAAAGAGGCGCTACCTTATAGGACATTTTCCCATTATTTAAGCGACCTAGGTGATTTTTTAAAAGACGCTATACCCGCGTGTTCTTATCACCCCACCCCTAATAACCAGGCTGCAGAATGGCTTTGGGGGCCCGTTTGTTAGGGTGCGTCTTGAACCCCTCCGCCCGTTTCCCAGTGAGCCAGCACGAGCCGGGCCTTGAGGCGCGGATCAACAGCATGGGGCTCGCAGGCCTCCTCCCCCGCCCAGTGCTACCGAGGCGCCGCCCGGCGCCGCCAGCTGGCTGCCGCCTCCGCCGCTTCACAGAGAAGAATGGGGACCCGCCCCTTGGGGTGATTGACGGGCTGCCTCCTCCAATGGCCAACGCGCTCGGCCCCGGCGGGCCGGGCAAGGGCCGCGGCACGCGGAGGAATCTCTCCTGCCCTTTAGTCCCGGGCTAGGTGTTGCGGCAGGCGCCATTTTATCGAGCAGCCTGTCTCGGGTGCCGCCATGTTGGTGAGGAGAAATCACCGTTACGGCCAGTGTCCAAATCCCCGCGTCGCTGCACGCCGCCCGCCCGCCCGCTCCCAAGCCTCAGCCACCGGCGGCGAATAGAGACTAAAGCGGCAGCGCCGGCAGCGCGGGGCCGTTGCCCAGTGTTTGCAGTTAGAGCCCCATCTCTCTGGCGTGGTTGTTAATAGACTGGAAAGTCTGTGTCTGTGTCGCTCACTAGTAACCGTGAGTTTTTACCACTTCGTCACCTCTCGGCGGCGGCCGGGAGCAGGTACCCGCAGGCGGCGCAGGGGTCCTCCCCGCGCCCCGCCGCCGCCGGCCTCGCAGACCTGTCCTCCAGCCCCGCCCCGTTCTTGACCAAACATGACAGACTCTGAACATGCAGGGCACGACAGGTCGGGAACCCTTCTTGTCTGTCTTTCTGTCGGATGAGAGGAGGGGTCTTGGGGCGGCGGGAGCGGGCCGGGGCCGCGCGCCTCCTGCATGACTTAGACGTCTCTGTGTGGCTCCATCAGTTCCATGACGTGCGCCCTTATGTAAAGCCCAGGCTGGCGGCCGCGGGGGAGGTCGGCCCGGCCGCGCCCGCCTCCCCGCGCCGGGGTCCTTTCCGGCCGGCCCCGCCCCCGGCCGGCACGTGCGAGCCCCCCGCCCCCGGGCGGCTCCGTCTGCCGCTCGGTCTGCGCCCGGCGCCTCCCGCGTGCTGGCTCGGTGCTGCGGTCCAGCCTGGGTGGAAACGAAGCCTCTCCCAGCCCAGGGTCCGCCGTGCACTTCCGGATGGGACCCGCCCGGAATTTGTAATAGCGGGTGTTCTATTTGACTACTGCCCTGGCACACTCCTAAAAATAAACTTTTTTTTTTCTTAAGGAAAATTTTAAACAACCCCCCAAGGCCATGTATTTATAGTCTTACTCCTCAGAATTTGAAAGAGTTTCAAATTAAAAATGCTAACACAAAAGACTGAGGCTATGCAGACCTTAGTGTAGCACAGCTTTCTCCTGAAGTAAAAACTCCGTGGTGATTATCCCCTGTAACTGCATTTTCTAAATACTGTATGTAATTCGAACACTTAACGGAGATTCTGATGTTTTATTTTTGCTTTAAGGGCACATTCTTGGTTCCTTTTAGAGCTTTGGGGGTATTTTCATATTTTAAAAAGCGCAAATAGCATACTTAAGTTTTGGTTAGTTTTTAAATTTACATTGCTGTCTACCGTGATTGTAAAAACAAAAAGAGAGGGCTTTAGTTCATTAAATTACTGCAATAAAATCTCTTGCATCTGATTGTTATTTAGAATATTTAAAAATATGGAACCTGGCAATTACTCCTTTGTAAATAGAAGTAATCAAAAGTATACATTGTACTCTAAACTAGATACAAATTGCCTGTTTTACCTGTGGAGTAATGTGATAATGCTTTTGATGAAGCATTCCACACACTTTTTTTTTTTTAATAACCCCACAAGCAGAAATAACAAACATCACTGAAATTTGAAATATCTAAACATTTGGCAACCTAGAGAGTGTTAAAAATATTTAAACAACTTTGATATCCTAGTGATGAAAGATCACCAGAAGACAAGTCAATTAAACATACAGTAATTTTTAGAAAGTAAAAAACACTTAAAAATTATGGCAATATAAGCTTGCACTTGACAGATTTTTCATGATTATTTTACATTATTTTGTCACTAAAATGACAGAATTCTTGGAATGGGTTAACGAAATTTTGAGAAATTTCCCATTCTGAATTTCCCACTCTGAATATCTGTGGACAAACCAATGACTGGGTTTTGCTAATGCAGCCTGAAGTTCATTGTTTTGTATGTAAGAAGGAAATGTGTTCTCTGTTCAGAAATCAGCTTCAATATGTAGAATTATGTATTCTATGTAATGAAGAATTGTCACCAAATTCAGGTATTGAAATAACTTTGCCAGTTAGGAACTGTGATGCCCGACTTTAAAAAGAATTTGGAATTTTAAAATATTGAATTAGAAGTTAAAATTTTAAAGAAGTTTTTGTAAGATTTATTAATAGCTTAGTACTAAGAACTAAAGATTAAATAATAGTGATATTTAGTCTTTTTTGTTTTATATTAGGACTAAGAAAACATTTACTAGCAATTATTGAAACAAAAAGGTAAGCTTCATTTTAACTTTTTCAGTTGTTAAATGACAGTATTCTTTTGAGGCAAGAAGATGATTTAACTTTCTCACACATTTTTTTTGTCAACCTATATGGAAAATAAACAACTACATCAAAAAACAAAGTGGATTGGAGTCAGGAAATGGTCTAGCTACAGCTTTGCTACCACTTAGCTTTGTGAACTTGAGCAAGCCTAGTTTGTTTATTGGTAAGAGGGTTCTACAAGAATTTTTCAAGTTCTTAAAAGGTCAGTGTTTTTCAGCCTCCTCTGGGAAGCTTTTTAAAAAGTGTTGCTTTCATTTCTATCAGTCTGAGCTTCAGCCTGGGTTTAAAAAATTTTTTAAAGCTCCTCAGGTAATTCTAATATATGCCAAATTGAGAACCACTGTACTAGATTAATGTTTTACAATCTTAGCTAATCATCAAAATCACTTTAAGGAATAAAGATTTTTGTCTTGCCCAGAGCAACTGAATCAGAATCTCTAGGGGAGGATTGTGGTAATCTATTTTTAATAGCCTGCCCAGGTGATTCTTAAGAAATGTGGGGAAAAGTGGACTAGTCTGTGGAATCCCGAAATATTTGGTGCTTCCATATTACAGCTATTCTATACTGTAATACAAGTTTCCACAAATTATTGGAGAAGATATATGAATTCCGGTATTTGGAGGTAGGCATTGTTTCAGGGATATCCTTTTTCTAACATTTTTGAAAGTTAAGGCATATTGTGAGTAGAAGGGAAAAAGTTGAATATATGATTTTTATTTACAACTGCTTTATACAAATTAAAATATTGCTGTTATAATTTACATCAGAATGAGATTTTAAATGGAAATGGAAATTCACAGAAGGCACAATTTTTTTTTCTTTTAAAAAATGGTAGTTTCTTGCACATGTTTTATATGGTGAACATTTTGCACAAGATTTGTTTGCCAAATGAGGTTGCTTTTTTAAAAAATACCGATTTGATGTACTTTTCTTTAAATATTTTCATGCCTGGAGTGAAAACACGGTATTTTTATACGTGTTACTAGTGTAACAATATGCAAAAATTTGTGGATATATAGAATATTAGTAGAGGCCTTCTGCATAGGATCTGAGAAATCAAGATTAGAGGTGGAGAAGGAGTTGGGGGAAGCCAAAGGGAGATAAAATTCTTGTCTTTTCATTCGATTCTTCCCTTTCATCCATTTCTCTTAGGCAAAACTTTAGCCACCTACCTTTATATTTCACTGGATGTTGACCCAGTTAAAACAATACAGAAACAACTTTTGAAGGCTAAATACTATGAGTCCCTGTTTGGACATGTACAGTAGAGTAGGAAAGATAAATATATACCTAAGTAACTATTACATAATTTTCTGAAATATGCTAAAAGTGAAAAGTTTTACAGGATCTGTACTGGGAAAAATGATAATTTTAACATGAGTAATATAAGAGCTTGTGATTCTGAGAGTCTTTAATTGATAAGAGCTATGTATAATACTTTCTTTTGGGAAGAGGTTATTCTTTGCCCATTATGAACAACCTTCCTACCTTCTTTCCCTCCTCTCTCCCACTTTCCTTCCTCATGTAAAACAAGAACAAAACTCCAACTAGTCAGAATTATAGTAGTTTATATTTTCTCTCTGCTCTGTATCCCCCCACGCATAATGATTAAAACATTGCTAAGAGACTACACTGGAGAATCTGAAGGGATTGATGACAGAGAAAATGATTACACTTTCCATTTGTAACAGGGTTTTCATTTGATTCTCACATTAATCCCATGAGGTGGTATAGTATTACAGTGCTCAGTAACTTGTTTACGAGATCCCACAGATAGAGGCTAGGTAGAGCCTAGGTATGCAAACTCCTGCCTGTAGTATTATTTTTCCTCTTCATTATCTTTATATGGGGATGGAATACAATAAGTTCTAGCTTTTATTTTCTAAATTGTTTGGGATTGTAATGTGGTACAATTAAGAGATCCCTGCATTCTCAGTAAAACCTGGGTTTTGATCCTGGTTTTTCCTCTTAGTTAATATTTTTCTATTTCCATGATTATTTTTCTTATTTGTGAAATAAGGTAGTTGAACTAGGTGATATTCATTCTCCCCTCCTACTTTAGTTAAAGTCAGTAATTTTAATTAAAAAAATTGCAAATGCCTTATTTCATGTTAGAGTTCACTTAATGTTCTATAAAATACCTGGTTTGTAAATTAATATGTATACTTGAGCAAATGCCCCCCCCCACTAAGCTACTAATTATTTTTAATTGTGGTAAAATACACATGTAAAATTTACATCTTACCCATTTGTAAGTGGACAGTTCAGTAGTGTTAAGTATCTTCACATTGTTGTACAACCAATCTTTGGAACTCTTTCATCTTGCAAAACTTAAATTCTATCATTAGTTTATTTTCTCCTGAATCTACTAATTTATTGTTAAAACTATCAAAATGAGCTTTTCTTTAGCAAATATAAAAAACTCAAGTTATATGTCACGTTCAGGTTTGATGTTGGAAAGCACTTTGACTCTTAAGACATTTTTCTTTTCCTAGCCCTTCGTAAACAAACTATTTCATTTACTTTAAATTTTCATTGATTAAATTTTCATTCAGCAGATTTCTGTGCCAAGTATATAGTGTTAAGCACTGGGGAAACAAATTTGAATACAATATCACTGAACTTGCTCTCTGGGATCTTATAATGTAGTAGGAGAAACAGACTGGTAAATACATAGTTATAGCACTAGTCCTATAATAAAGGTATAAATTGATTGCCGTAGTGGCATAGATGGGGGGGCTTCAGGGAGGCATCATGGAATTAGCTACATCTGAAGGATGAGTAAAAGTTTGGCCAAGCAGAGTCAAATATATGAAAAGCATGAAGAAGCGAACTGGCATGGTGGGTTCAGAGATGATAAAAATGTTAGTATGTAAAGCGTGTACAGCATATTTTGGGGAATGAGGAAAAGGCTTCAGTGAATTAGGGATCTGACCCTGAATGATGTAAAGAGCTCATCGAAGTTATTTTTTTTAAGTTTGCTTATTTATTTATTTATTTACTTACTTACTTACTTAAGTGAAAAAAGCCTAGAACCCGGAATGAGCCTAGTGTAATTAAGGAAAGAACAAGGGAGCAGTGTGGCTAGAGAAAACAGTGAGCAAGGGGGAGAGAAGTAAGAGATGAAGTTAGATGGGCAACAGGGGCGATTGTGTAGGGCCTTGTAAAGCCATTTTAAAGAACTTGGTAAAGGAGCCACTGGAGGATTTGAACAGAGGAGGAGCAGGGTCATGCTGTGGTAAAGGAATGGTAAAAAGGAAGTTGCTTATGGTAATTTAAGTGACAAGTGATGATGGTTTTAGGTCAGTGAGGAGAAAATGGTTGGATTTTGGATATGGTTTGGAGATAGAACCAATAGGATTTGCTGATGGATATGGCATAGGAAAGAAAGGAATGAGTCAGAGCTACTGTAAAAGACTAGAAATTGGGTAATGAGGACCTGATCAAAAGCATTGGCAATAAGAAAGCAGACAAAAGGCAAAAATTCATGAGATATTTCTTAGAGTTGATAGAACTGGAGATAAAGATCTGAGAGTTTTTAGCAAAGATGTTAGTCAAAATGATGAGATCACCCAGGTATGTGTAGTAGACAGTAAGGAAGACAGAAGTTTTCTGGAAGCCAAGGGAGGAGAAAGTTTCCAAAGAAGGGATGATCACAGAGCAGATAAAGGAAAGGGTTGGAAATTGGCCACAGGATATCCTAAATTAGGGCCGGTAAAAGCATGCTTCAGGGCTTGCAAGCAGCTGGCCTTCACACCTAAAATCTGTCCACATTATAGTTTGCCTGACAGGATGTTTAAAAATATTTACGTTTGAATGCCATTGGACTTGACTTGTGTTCTTTATCCCCCAGTCTTTTCACTGATACTTTCTTTGCAAACTCAGCACCTGATGTCTTGCTCATTAGGTGACTTGCCTGATCATGTAGGCATTTGAATTTGTGACCCTTTGTTACGCGATGAAGTCAGGTTTTCACCTGGACAGGTGGGTGATCTGGTTTCCAAAAACAGAGATAGGTGGCCTTGAATTTACCAGGTCAAGCCTCTAGTCAGTCTAGGGCTGTCCCAGTATTCTTTTGTGCATCAGTGCCCCCAGTGGCCTTGCTTCAGTTTTTCAGATTCGGAAAAAGATCAGCCTCAGAGCTGATCAGACGTGAAGATGTTAATTCATGCTAAAAAGTAATAACAGTGGCTAACATTTACATGCTGCTGTTTTAAGTGCTTTACATGAATTATTGCATTTAATCTTCATGACAGCCCTCATTTTACAAATGAGGAAATAGACACTAAGAGATTGATGAATTTCCCAAGGTCGCAGAGTACATCAGTGGGAATTCAAGTAATCTGATTCTAGAGCCTGCATTTTTATTTGAGGATAGACATCCCTAACACAAGAGAATGTGTGTGTGTGTGTGTGTGTGTATCAGAATACCAATTCAGTCATGTAAAATGAGGATTAGATATTTGCATCAGGGAGGGTATTCTCTCCATGTAGAATGTTATATGGAAAACAAAATTACAAAAATTGCCTAATGAACAGGAGCATGGGATTAGAATGAGGGAGTTGATTGTAAATGACTGGAATTTTAAATGGCGTCAGGCTCTGATAAAGTGATATTTCCATCTTCATAACGTATCTGCCAAGCAGTTACTTGCATCAGCCTTACAGGATATCCCCTCTCCTGGGCAGTGCTTACATGGGCACTGGCCACATTTGTCTCTCTACCTTTCCTTCTTCATCATTTCTATCGCTAATCAGCCCTACTTTCTGATAGGTACATTTCTTTTCATTGCATGTTAATATCTTAAATTTAGTCATCTTTTACTTGGTCATGTGTATCTGACTTCCTCATCTGATTCATCTTATTTTGATTTTATGGTTGAACTTTCTGAGGTGATACTGTTCTGAGGAGATACTATTTCTAGTATCTTTTTTGAGGTGTTTGGGTCCTGGAAGGTGTTGCTTGACTGCTGATGCCATGTACCAACCCAGATAGCTGTCATTGAATGACCTTTGCAAAAGCCGTTTCAGCAGATTATTATTACTCTTGGCAAAGAACAACCTTCCTCTAATGTAAAATAGCTTTATATTTATTTTCTTTTGCCCTCTCCTTTTTTTTTTTTTTTTTTTTGAGTAGGCTCCACACCCAGTGTGGGGCCCAATTCAGGGCTTGAACTCATAACCCTGAGACCAAGGTCTGAGCTGAGATGGAGTCACACACTTAACCGACTAAGCCACCCAGGCACCCCATGCTTTGCTTTGTTTTTAATGTGAGTTCATGGCTTAACATTACTACTTCAAATGAACTCTTGTAATACTTCAGCTTTCATAAATCATACCCACATTTTTGAGTGGCAAATAACCAAAGCAAGTCCCAAGGAGTGTTTAAAGGGAATCCTAAGTTAATCATCATTAAAATTATAAAACCATGTAAAAATCATTAACAATGTATTTATAAAAGTGATAGAACAAAAGAACCTAGATTTAGAACTCGTGATACTCAATATTTTACATATATTGCTATTTATAATTCACATACTTTAATTCATTTGATTCATGTAGACAGAACAGTTATCAATATCTTCACTTTATAGTTTAGGAAACAGATTTAGAGGGTAAATAACTATTTACCACAGTCTATGTCTCATAGCATTTGATTTCATACTCTTCCCTTGCCACCGTTGCCTCATGATGGTAGTAATTTGACACCAGATGCTGGATTGGGATATTGGATCCATAAAAGGGTTTGGGTTTTTTTCTTTTTTTTTTTTTTAAAGATTTTATTTATTTATTTGTCAGAGACACAGAGAGAGAGGGAACACAAGCAGGGGGAGTGGGAGAGGGAGAAGCAGGCTTCCCGCCGAGCAGGGAGGCCGATATGGGGCTCAGTCCCAGGGCCCTGGGATCATGACCTGAGCCGAAGGCTTAACAACTGAGCCACCCAGGCGCCCCAGGGTTGTTGGTTTTTTTTTTCCTTTAGATATTACTTGATCCCAGGCAATTTCAGCCTGCTTTATTATAAATTCATCTTATATGACAGTTTTTCTAAATTCTAAAACAATTAAAAATTGAATGTATAAAGAATACCAATTTTCACATATTTTTAAGAGTATGAAATCAGTTAAATCTAGCTACGTCTGCACATTTTTAGCTATGGAAAACAAGAATTCTTCTATTGTATACGGGTTTTAACCTATTAGGAGAATTTATTGAAGATGCATAGAGATCAAAAGAGCCAACATCTCTTTTGCTTGAATTTTTCTCGATGACTGGCAGTTGACAATAAAATATTAGATCACTGGTTCTTTGTGTGTGGGGTTTGAGTTCTTTACAAAGGCTACTCTTTGGCTCATAAAGGAGCTTGTGGGTTGATTTCTTTTCTACATCCTTGGCATACATAGGAGTCTATTTTAAAATTATGTTTTATGTAAGCAAACAAAAATGGAAGTGAATAATGCATTTATGTAAGAAATTCATACATATTTTGGCTGTATATACATATCTACCAAACATACATTTTTTAAAAATTATAGATACCCAAGCGTGAAAACCAACATTTGACCAAATCTTAGACTAAAGTTAATATCATCATCATAGATTAAATTTCTGGAATGCGTGAATAAATCTGAAATATCCCTCAAGTTATTATAATTTATTATTAGAAATTTTAGTGGTCTATTTTTAAAAATAGGACATTCCAGTGAAGTAATAATTTCTCAACACTGCCTATTGCTAAATTACTGCTATAATTGCTACAATGCACATTATTGGTACTGAATAGAGGGTCACTTTCAAATGAGATTAGTGGAACACAAGATAGTTGGGGGAACTTTTTTTTCCTCTAACATTTTCCTTTATAATTTTTTTAAAATATCTGGAGCAAAATGATTGATTACATTACACATAACTTTAGAGTTTTTTCCTCATGAAATTTGGAGGTAACAAAGCTAACATTCTGTTTTTAATTCGTCTACAAAAGATATAAATTCTCAAATAGGATTTTTTTTCTTGAAAGATTCATGGGATTAAATAATTGAAAATATTCTTTAGAAGTTATTTTGTGTAGTGTTATGAATGTTAGAATGCCAAATAAATGAATAAAGTTAGAATCATGACATAATTTCTATTTTTGTGTTTTGTATTTTTTTTTAAGATTTTATTTGACAGAGCAAGAGCGCACAAGCAGGGGGAGCAATAGAAGGACAGGGAAAAGCAGGCTCCCCGCCAAGCAGGGAGCCCTATGCGGGGCTCTATCCCAAGACTCTGGGATCATGACCTGAGTCAAAGGTAGATGCTTAACCATCTTAGCCACCAAGGTGCCCCTGTTTTGTATTTTTCATTTAAATTTTTATAATCATTTGTCAGCTCAAACAGTGTATAATATTCTTCCTTAAAATCAATAGCTAAATTACTCTCTCAATATTATTACTCCGGTTTTTTACTTGGCTATTTGAGGATTGTTAGTTTCTTTTGTACATAAAATGGTTTTCATAATCATTAATTGCACATTTTTCTCTTACATAAATGTACATTTGTACTTCATCTAATTGATAAAATTTTAATATATAAAGCACAGGGAAATTCTTGTTGTAAGTTATACCTGAAAATGGATATTCAGATACTAATAGTAAATTCAGATGACATGGCTTTTTTTAATATATATGACCTATTATGCTGATTAGATATAATAGTAACTAACCTAAGGATCATGTAATTTCCAGTCATGTCATACTCAGGGATGCAGAAATGACTTGAAGCAGGCCAAGGCAGAATGGAGAAACATGCTTTAGCTGGATACTGAGGCCAAAGCCTAATTTTGGCATGTCTTTTATTTATTTATTTATTTATTTTTAAAGGTTTTTTATTTATTTGACAGAGAGAGACACAGTGAGAGAGGGAGCACAAGCAGGGGGAGTGGGAGAGGGAGAAACAGGCTTCCCGCAGAGCAGGGAGCCCGATGCGGGGCTCGATCCCAGGACCCTGGGATCATGACCTGAGCCGAAGGCAGACGCTTAACAACTGAGCCACCCAGGCACCCCTTGGCATGTCTTTTTAAAAAAAATGTACTCTGACAACACTCCCTGAAACCTGGAGCCCTGGTACCTCATATCGTAGGTAATATGATAGCAAGTAATTTGGCGTATTAGGAACGTTAACAGACCAAGTGGGATTTTTTGAATATTACTGGGTCGTAGGCAATTTTACCCAGTTCACTATACATTCATCCAACAAAACTTTTTCAACTTTTGTTCTGATGTCATGACACCTAGAAGATTATTTTCTAGCTTTCAAATTCTGTTTACTTTATTTGCTGAGATTTGTTTCTATTGAGTTTCTAGTTTCTCCAGCCTATACTGGAGAGCCTAAGTCAAGAGGATAAATTGAAAGGGAATGAAAGTAAATGAATTTTAGCTTAGTGAGATAACCAAGATAGTAAGTGAAATATAAAAAAATTATTTAAAAAATGTAGTCTCAAAAAAACCTATGGCGGGGCGCCTGGGTGGCTCAGTTGGTTAAGCGACTGCCTTCGGCTCAGGTCATGATCCTGGAGTCCCGGGATCAAGTCCCACATCGGGCTCCCGGCTCAGCAGAGAGTCTGCTTCTCCCTCTGACCCTCCTCCCTCTCATGTTCTCTGTCTCTCATTGTCTCTCTCGCAAATAAATAAAATCTTAAGAAAAAAAAAAAAAAAAAAACCTATGGCAAGCTAGTACACAATGTTGTTTTATTCCCGTAATATTCTGTCTCTGCTTATGGCATAAAGGATGTTTGAGGAGTAATATGGTTTTCTTTCATGATGTCAAACATACAAGCTCAAGGATATATTTAAAAATTCTTCATTTCCCTAGATTAATATACAGCAATGCCTCTTCTATCTGGCACTGGGCAGGGAAATTAGCATCAATAGATATTAGCAGAAACTAATTTTATTATAAATATTTTCAAAGGATCTCTTTGTAAATAAAATATGTGGCATACTTTCCCCTCTTACTAACTAGACAATTACTGATTTATCTTTTTCTTAATTACTTTGGATCATCATGAATATCTGTTGTCACCATAATCACTATGAACCCTAGGTATTATACTCCATCTTGTTTTTTCTTGTGTCCAGGAGACTTTGGAAATATGGGAGGCTTTCACACAGACTGATTAAGCTAAGTATTGCTTAATGATAGGATAAAGGAGAAACAGCCTCAGGAACAGACTCCAGATTTGGTCTACCACAGTTTCTTTTCTGCTTTTACTTGTTTGAAATAATTTTTCATTGTTATTCTCTGAAGGAAAATAAAGGAAATTTCCCCCTGGAATCCATGCTTTTGGGATTTGTAACCTTTCCCAATTTCTATGAAATTATCTGTCATCTTCCATACTCATTCCATTAAAATGCATGTATTTCGGGCGCCTGGGTGGCTCAGTTGGTTAAGTGACTGCCTTCAGCTCAGGTCATGATCCCAGGGTCCTGGGATCGAGTCCCACATCGGGCTCCCGGCTCAGCGGGAAGCCTGCTTCTCCCTCTCCCACTCCCCCTGCTTGTGTTCCTGCTCTCGCTGTCTCTGTCTCTGTCAAATAAATAAATAAAATCTTTAAATCTTTTTTTTTTAAGATTTTATTTATTTATTAGAGAGTGAGCGAGAGAGAAACAGCATGAGAGAGGAGAGGGTCAGAGGGAGAAGCAGGCTCCCTGCTGAGCCGGGAGCCCGATGTGGGACTCGATCCCAGGACCCTGGGATCATGACCTGAGCCGAAGGCAGTCGCTTAACCAACTGAGCCACCCAGGCGCCCAATAAATAAAATCTTTAAATAAAAAAAAAAAAATGCATGTATTTCAGGTAAATCACAAGAGAAAAGGAAACCAGTTGAGGGCTATCTATTATGAACAGTGCTAAGTAATTACCTAACTTTATCTCAATCCTTACACAACTTTGTGATGGTAGATTGATTGATCCTATCTGTAGATAAGGAAACTGAATATTAGGGGGCAAGATAATTGGTTCAAGTTAGTATAGGTAATATATGACTGGGAAGCAGAATCTGAACCCAGATCTTTCTGGCTCTAAAAGCTTTTGTTCTTCTACTTTACTACCATGCCTCTTTAAGTAATCTGTCTTAACATGCCACAAGTTTGGTTATTGTTCTTGTTTAACATTCTCGCTTTAATTTACAGGTTCAGGTGAGTTCACTTTGCCAGAATCCTGGGTCCTTATTAAATAAGGTGTTTGTTTGATTTTGGTTTGGGTCCTCTTCAACTTTAGGTGAAAATTGCTATTCTGGCAGCCAACTACTTCATTAGTATTTGACTCTCTTTTCTGGATATTGGTGCTTAGCTCCCTTTTGTTTTTATTGAACGGCAAACCTTAGTGATAACATAGCAGTTTTCATTACTTCTAGCATTCCTCTCTTTTCTTTGCCTCTTCTGACTTTGATGTGGAGGCTTTCATCCTACGAAAGCTGTTAACCTAAACTGCACCACTTTTTTTTTCCCAAGTCACATAAGTGATTTTTAAATAGAATTAAACAGTCATCAGAAACCCTGGAGGCCAGAAAGCAGTGGGATAATATATATTTCTAAAATTTTTTTATTTAAGTACAGTTGACATACAATGTTAGATTAGTGTACAACATAGTGATTCAACAATTCTATACATTACTCAGTGCTCATCACAATGAGTGTAGTCACCATCTGTCACCATAGAATGTTGTTATACATTATTGACTATATGCTCTATGCTGTACTTTTCATCCCCATGACTTATTTATTTTATAACTGGAAGTTTGTACCTTTTAATCCACTTCACTTATTTTGCCCTTTCCTTTAACCCCCTCCACTCTAGCACTCACCAGTTTTTTCTATTTATGAATCTGTTTCTGTTTTTTTGTTTGCTCGCTTGTTTTATTTTTTAGATTCTGCATGTAAGTGAAATCATATGGTATTTGATTTGTCTGACTTATTTCACTTAGCATAATACCCTCTGTGCCCATCCCTGTTATCACAAGTGGCAAGATCTTATTCTCTTTTTAGGGCTGATTAATATTCCACTGTGTGTGTGTGTGTGTATGTGTGTATCTCACATAATATTCCACTGTGTGTATATATATATCTCACATGTATTGTGTGTAATATTCCAGTGTGTGTGTATACACACATATCACATATCACACACACATATATATATCAGTATATATACATCTTCTTTATTCATCTAGTGATGGACACGTAGGTTGCTTCCATATCTTGTCTATTTTAAATAATGCTGCAATAAACATAGGGGTACATATATCTTTTCAAATTACTGTTTTCATTTTCTTTGAGTAAATACCCAGTAGTGGAGTTACTGGATTGTATTTCTATATTCAGTTTTTTTGAGGACCCTACATACTCTTTTCCACAGTGGATGCACCAATTTACATTCCAACTAAATTGCACCACTACTTTATCAACTTGTCTGGGACCCTGAAATGAATGGGGAAACCTGTTTTCCAGCTCTATGTGATTTGATTCTTTTACTTTTTAAAAAATCTATACAATAAAAATTTTTGACTAATTTCCTTTGAGCCCCTAAAAAAATACTGTTTAGTAAAAAGAAAACCTTATAGCACCTTATAACCCCAAGGGCCATATTTCAGTCCAACTAATCTAGCCTGGTGGCTGCCATTTCCTTACAAACATTAAAATAACTTCTGTGGGGGGCACCTGGGTGGCTCAGTCGGTTAAGCATCCGCTTTTGGCTCTGGTCACGATCCTGGGGTCTGGGATGGAGCCCCATGTCGGGCTCTCTGCTCAGTGGGGAACCTGCTTCTCCCTCTCCTGCCTGCCACTCTGCCTGCTTGTGCTCTCCTTCTCTGTCTCTCTTTCTCTGTCAAATAAAATCTTTTAAAAAATAAAATAACTTCTGTGGAATTGAAGTAACTCATATTTACCTTTGCATGTGAGAAATGCAACTTTTAGACCTTAACAGTTTCTCTGTATCATCTCTTAAAATACCACTTAAAAGTGTGTTGATGAAGTTTCTTTTTCTCAACATTTTATTATGAAAAGTTTCAAATATGCAAAGATGTTGAAAGAAGTTTACAGTAAACACCCTCATATCCTACCCACCAGTTGGTGAGCTTCTTAATCTTCTTTACATTAGCTTCTATTAAGTGGTTTGGCTATTTGCAGTTTCCTCCTAACACCGAATGTGTGTAGCTATTATAGCAACATGGTGAAGAATTACGGGTCTGGAAATCAGACCCGAGTTTGGGCTCTAGCTCTGTCATCTACTAGCAGAATCAGTTAAGCCCCTTG